CCCCCCCCCCCCATGAGGAATCAAAAATGTGAAATATATAAATCACTTCAAATAAGACTATAATAATAGGCAAGCGATGCCCACGATGTCCATCAATCCAAAAATAATCTTACTTCTTAGTAATATTATAAATGCAAAAGTTAGATGGTTGGATGTTTGTAAGAGTTTTAGTAGTTAGATCTCCATGAAATTTGGCATAGGTTTTCAAGCTAGTCCTAAGGACACATAGGTTTTTTTATAATTGCACGCGGACGGAGTATCGGGCGAAAGCTAGTAAATATATAATTTACATCCAGGTGCTGAAGGTTTCACTACAGAAGAGGACCACGAGATGCTGTCGCGTATAGAGAAGCAGTTGAAACGTAGATTCGCCGTGGGCTCGCAGGTGTCGGAGCAGACCATCATACAGGACTTCATCAGACAGAAGTATCCGGAGCGCGCCATACTCAAGGTGGTGCACACGATGATAAGACGCGGCGAACTACAGCACAGATTGCAAAGGAAAATGTTGTACAGACTGTCATAAAATTTATATTTTATGCGTTATTGATTTAATTTGAACTGAAATAAAACCCTATTTTCTTTGTCGTTAGTTTTATTTTTATAATACTTTTCTAATTAACCACCTTGTGTGATGAGGATTCCTATTACCCTGTGTCCTCTCCTTTACTCTACAAGAGAGTGGGAATGAAAGGGGGTGAAAGTGAAGATTTTAAAATGGAAATTGATATAATTATAAATAAAACACCAATATTTTTTTATCCTTTATTGAATTAAACACCAATAATCGCAAGTAATGTTCACTACAGACTAGTCTAGTGTTCACATTAAGTATTGAATACATTTAATACGATAATAGCGATGCTCAGAGCATAGTAATATTGTATGTGCCAGTTGAACTGACGTTAAAATGTTAAAGCTACTCGGTGGTCATCATATTCAAGCGTAGAAAATAATCACGAAGCGGATAGAGGTAGAAAAAAGTTATCGCCAATTATGTCTCAGGATATCTTATAAAAAAAATGCAGCCCCCTTTTGCTCCTTTTGGGAAATCGGTCAAAAATGGGTTTCCGTTGCGACATTACAACACTTGACATTTAGGTTTTGAAGAGGGAAAACAAGGAAACCTCTCTTATTCAAATCTTAACCCTTTAATGGTATACAGATTAAAAATACAGTTTATTTTTCCCGTAGTAAAAACTGTGTTTAACGATTATTTGCTTAAACATTTACATTCCATAGTTTAGTGTCTTATACTGAATAAACTAAGTAGTTTAAGTAAATTTGATTTCTACTTGAAATATTTGTCGAAAATCTCCTAACACAAGCTTTAACTTATCTAATTGGAATGATTAAGAGAATGTTAGTAATTCTTTCGTCTTCCTGCAAATAAATAAATTTTACAATTCCTTAAATTGCTACTTAACAAATGGAATTGTCGTTAATTATACTGTAGAGATGAATTAATCATATAATTAGAATTGAATAGAAATATTTAATTTAACAAGTATTGAAGAAAACCCGCTGCTAATCTTACTCAATAAGAAGAAAAGCATAAGTAGAATTTCTCTATCTTTAACGTTAACAATATTAGCTCTTAGGGCCTGTCCCACCACTGGCTGATAAAGCCTAAGATTGCAAAAATTGACGTCACTGTCTGATAAGGGAACAAAATCCGATATTTTACACGTTGGATTGTTATCAGACAATTTACAATTCGCTGGGATAGGCCCTAAATGTTACTAAAATGTGACCGAGGACTTTGATAAATCCAGAAGAGTTTTGTTAATACAATTATTGTAGTAAGATTTAACCATCTTGAGACAGAATTGACGATAAGAGTAATTGCTTAACAAGAATATTAGGACCAAGACCGCCGGGTATAAATGATAATGCTACTCTTAGACCGCGTGGGGAACATCGAATGGATATTCGGGATGTTTTTCAACGCCCTTCCAGAAGAGAAAATTAAATATACGCCCGCCCTCGCCCTTGTCTAAGTTTTTTAAGCTATTTATTTCCGCTGGCGTTACCTCAAAATTATATATATCGGAGTTTTCCTGAAACAAAATCAGTTGATCTGAAACAAAATAATGAGTCGTGCAGCTATTAAATTGAGTTTGTGAGATATTCAATTTTATTAAATGTAGTGTTAAAGTGTAGAGTGTACGAGAAAAAAAGTTAACAAAACAAATCTTGAATCGACACATATCAGTATAATTAGAGTTTTTAGTAAGGGTTTAAAAGATTCAGTCCTTAAAAATTTTGAGCCTCTGTCAATTCCGGATTTATTAAAAAAATGTTGAATAAAATGTTAGGAGACATGCTATTTTTGTGTTGCCATGCATCGCACGTACTAGCTTGAAGTATTATATTTAAATTCGAGAAATCAATTCAATATAGTGAATCTTTTTGTGAACGCGCATGTAATTGTAAAGTAGAGTTCTGTCCGCAGATGGAGGGGATGAGAAGACGATGAGTTACTATGAAATTCATCGAAAGCACCAGAGAGCTGCGACTACTCTAGAAAGAAGTCTACAGCGCGCTCGCTAACAAACGGCCTCTAAACGGCGAAGTTAAGTAAATGATGGCAGTACACACCTTCAATCTCTTCTCACTAGTACTCTTTGGAATGACTACGACCTTTTGATTGACTAAGAAATTTAACAGGACTTGTGCCGGTGTTTTGCCATGTCTCGCGGCAATCTCCTTTACTTCTGGGTGGCCTAAAAGATCCGGAAAAGCGTCTGGGCTGAAAATTGTATGTGTCGACTTAAACATAAATAATGAAACAGTAAACGTATTGTGTCTGTAGTGTATGTGCGTACGTACTTGTAGTTATATTTGTTGACGAAGTGGTCCTTGGCGCCGGGGCTGCCGAGCGGCGCGTACGCGGTCACCACGATGTCGTTGTCGGCGCAGAACTTGCGCAACTCCACCTGCTGGAAGTACGCGTGCAGCTCCACCTGCAGCACCTGCGGCTTCAGCGTCGCGTACTTCATTATCTTGCTGATCTGCGCCTGGTTGAAGTTCGACAGCCCGAGGTTGCGGATGAGCCCCTCCTTCTGGCATTGCTCCATCACCTATATTTCATATTTTCTTAATTCATACAGAATTTGTTGAAAATTCTCCGAAATACTCGCAAAGCTCGCATTCATAATTTGAAAGAAATCTTGTTTTTGTTAGAACACTTTACGCAAGCACAAAAATTAATAAAACTCACCATCCAAGTGTTGATGTGATTGGTATCCATATCGAGATCATACTCGCCCTTGTCCTTGACGACCGGCGTCAGGGTGTCAACGTTGCAATGGAAACCGAATGGGACATGTATTAAATACAAGTCCACATAATCCATTTGCAAACGGTTCAATTGTAGGTCAAGGAATTTGCGCACATCAGACGCCCTGTTGCCGACATGGGGCAACTGCAAAATATGCGCAATCATTAAAAAATGTAAAACGCCGTTGTCCACAATCTTAATTGGAATTTAGATTTTTTATACACGTTAATGTTACTATTGCCGCATATCGATAGTGCTAGAAAAAATACGCCTTTTACATTTAGGAACAACGCATTAGGAACAAAACTTTCAGCGTCCATTTTCTCCTACCAATATTTTATAGCAAACATTTCGAAACGAAAAGAATTCTCAGCAAACATCTATTTTCGTAACCCACCTTTACTTTTTCTTAAATCATCAGTATATCTAAAAACCTTGTATGTTGGAGTTAAACGTGGAAAAATGCTTTCCTCGTGGTGTTGGCGCTATCATAAGAATGAGATTTTTTTACAAAATTAGTGTTTAATTTGTTTTGTATTACGTTACATATCGACAAATTATTTTCATCTTAGATATTACTTTATTTGCTATTGTAAAGTATTTTTCGCAACACATATGTCTGCTGAAACGCTAGCGACTAGATAATGGCGGATGGTTCTAACATATTGTGGACATCAAATGATAGAAACGCTATAAATTAACAACGCGGAATTATTTTTTACAAGTAGTTTAAAACTATACTGAACTAACCTTAGTAGTGATAAATAATTCTTTTCTTGTTCCCTTCCCATCAGTAATCCATTGTTTAATGGCATTACCGATTGCCTCTTCGTTATTGTAGTTAAAGGCAGTATCTATATGCCTGTACCCCAAATCTAAGGCTTTATAGACAGTAGATTCTATAACATCAGGCGGGGCCTGAAAGTATTTTAGTAATATTACATTTTTTAAGTCATGAAGAGTTTACAATTACGTTACGTATGGTACAAACCTGCCAGGTGCCCAAACCCAATGTAGGCATAACATCACCAGTCTGGGACAGCGTCGCATATCTCATGGTGTTTGTTTTTCCTTAACCCTGGATTAGCTGGACTATGAACTTGAATCACTCTCTCACTGTTCAATAATCGGCGTTGTTCAAGAAAAGTCTGACAGATCTCTTTTGGCAAATAGCCAAAAAGAAAATGTTTTTTTTCTAATGAGTGCTCACTAATTATTTAAAAGCAATCGTATCGTACGAACTGTGATCGATATATTACACCCAATGTCTACAGGACATGAGAATAATGCAGCGCAACTCTGTGATATCTAGTATTGATTTTTATGATGTAACAGCTTAGTATTTTGAACTTCCCGCTACTGATCCGTCTAGAAATTAAAGCATGTTCAAATTTTTCTTATTCACTTTGTTGTATATGAGGTAAAATTTAAATTTATATTAAGTACAAATTCTTTTATTCCAAAATAAATATTTATCTTAAGAAACTAAAAATATTTATAAACGAAAAAGTTCTTGAAAAGTCGGGAGGCAATAATGTACAGCCACGATAATGCACGACCCAATAATG